AGCTCGCTCGGGCCTACCGATCTCACAGCAGTGTAGACCAACCTCTGTGATAGAGCGGTGACAGCAGTGTAACCTCTGTGGTAGACTACAAAGTCTACGAGCTACAGCAGCACCGCCACCTCCGCTGCTGCAGGACGCCACATTTTGTGAAAATGATATTAACGAAGATCCCGCGAGGATTATAACGAGGTTCACGCGCTGACACCGCAGACAACAAGTTGTTGGTGAATGCAACGGATACACTATGCACAGGACAGAGGATTGCGAGTGAAATAACTCACGCACTCATTCCTCGGCGAATGAAAATGTTCCAAGACACAGCACGTATCGGGTATTTTGTGAGCGTCGACCATCAACAGCTTTCTCCAAAAACAACAGCTCTTCCCAACGATCGGGAGCGGCTGTTTGATCTCTCGCCCCGAAACGTGAGAACACAAGTGACATGTGCATGTCTGAGAACGAGGTTCGGAGCGCTGGGATGAAATGTAACGGAAAGCGTGGATGGATAGATGGAATGAAGAAAGGAAAGGATGGCATTGATAGAGCGGTCAGCTGGACGATGGATGGAGTTCGGGCTTGATGATGATGGAGCTAGCTCGGTTGGAGCGCCCAGCCGAGGAGTTACGTAGGTGACTCCTACTACTCTGGAACTTGACAACTCGCGTGGTATGTGCTTTCGTATCAAATCTCATCAAGGGTTAGCTAAGCAAATGTCATCCACGCCATCGTTATCAATTGACGGCAGTGCTGTGGCCTTGGAGTTGGTGCAACTTTTGTCACGTAGAAGTATGGCGTAGCATGGGGTGTTTTCTATAACGATTGAACCTACCGTTTAGAAAACACCCCATGCTACGCCATACTTCTACAACTTCGACGCTCGCTTCGCACTTCCCTAGAAACGTAACACCTACCTTCTGTGAAGCTACAGTAGTAGCCATTCCGACATGGTGTAATTCCCTCCGGAGCCAAACCCAGGGCTCCATGCCTAAGATCCCCGGTTGCGGGGCGAGGCCCTCGTCTCGCAGCTCCTCGAGAAAAGCTACGAATGTCTGCTAGCTAGGTCCGAACTTCGAGCGATGTATCTAGCTGCTGCCCTCCCATGCCGCGCGACTCTCCGACGCGGGCTACACGTTACACACTGTGCATTCGTCAGCACGTGGTCCTTGGGCCCGGTGAACACGCGTCCATCGCACTCTTGCTGCAGGAGCAGCGAGGCAGCAGAATGAGAACTCCGTGAGACCTTTCTCTTTTTGGGACCCCAGAAAACCGAACCAAAACGTTCGAACCAACCGCCTCCAGGGCGGCACAACAAGAACCCAACTACATACGTAGAACTGGGAGATGTTCCGAATTCTTCCGTGCACAATTTACTACTACAGTTTATTCGGTCTTCGACAACAAACTTTCATTTTCTCCAACATCAAAACGCACAATGTTTCGTAACAGCCCCTCCCCTGCTGCAACGTCCCCCCCCCCCAA